ATGACTAACAATTCTCTAAATTCAGGACTTTCCAGCTATGCTTCAGAAATCTATCACACTATCAGTCTTTAGTACAATATCACACCAAGTAAGACGTCTTCCGCTGGGACATTTTTAATATCTCCCAACAGAGACTTCCTGTTCATGTGAGCACAGTCCTCTGCCGACGCTAAAAACAGCTGGGCAGACAGCTATCGATTTCATACCTTCCCAAATCGAGTATTTTGGTATTATCGGCTTTTATATTCCTACATCCTTTTTGGCAGTGCCAATGATAGGGCCAATTTTGTATCATGAAACAAAAACTCCGGAAATAGCCACGTCAAATTATTGTAGGTATTTTCGTTTTACAACCGCTTCGATTATTTTAGGATTTTCTGTTTCCCCCACAAAAGCATCCCATAATATTCTGAAATATTTTTTTTCAGTAGGATCTACCCTAGATTTGCCATGGTATACTAAGGGGAAAATAAAATTCCCAAACTTCACGCCATAATATTTTGGCTGTACGTATTCTACAAACTTCATTGTTCTCGCTGTCAATAATTTACAGCAGTCTGTGCTGTTGGGCCATTTCGTTAATTATTCTGTTAGTGGTGTCCATTAGATCTCCTTTAAAACAACCTGGTCAGCCATTTTTATAGTAACCTTTCTTCCAGATGACCGCGAATTCCACGAAATGGAAAAAAAAAAGAAAATCTTACTATATTTCGTTATTGTTTCATATTATACAATAATGCTGACAATTATTAAGAATGTTTCGAATTTAGATCAACCCACAACGAAGCTTTTAAATAAGGTTTTTATTTTTCTGTGTTACAGCTCTTAGAATCCTTGTTTGTACTTGACCGTTAAGATGAAAAATGATTTCTTCGCGTGCATGTGTGAGAAAGATGCAAAGTGTAAGTGTCACGTAGCTTTGTGAGGAAGATGGACGAATGAGTAAGGGAGTTTCTTTTAAGCCCAGTGAAACTTGTGGTCTGAATCTCCTTACTGGTTTTTCTGTCTTCGCTTCCTAATGTATTTGAAGAGTCTTTAATCCACCTCAGATCACGCTGTCAATACCTCATAACGAATATCATACTTTGTATGTAATAAATTACGTACAAAGTAATGACATATACTAAGCTGCTGTAAAGGTAACCACCAAATAAGGAAATTTCTAAGTAACGTAAAGAGGATGGAAAAAAAAAAAAAATCTACGCATACACTAACATACTTTTCCAAATATATTTTGAACCCCTTAGAGGATCAACAACACATCAGAAATATAAGAATGTACATTGTGGTCCGAAAGTCTTGTCCCCTACTAGAAAGTAAGGAGAATGGAAGAACAAGTAATTCAAAGTACATGTACTACATTCACTTTCATTGACGCTGTCACACATCGAATACGCCTGTAGGAACATTTTCCTGTCCGCCATTAAAAAAAAAAAAAAAAAAATTATATAGTGAGTGACAATACTTTCGGACCACATCCTGTATGTTGGTCAGCATTCACTCAATTCTGACTATAGTTATTTTAAAAAAAAAAACACTAAAGTGCATATAAATACCACGCGACGACTTATTTTAGCCAAACGCAGCGAAGAGAGGTGCTGCATATTATAATAGACGAGGTTACTGTTGGTCAGATGTCGCAGTGGAAGATTCATAATAAGGAGACTTTCGAAAAGAAAAGAAAATGCGCAACAGTTCAAAGTAGAGAAAAACAAAAAATCATACATCTAGCTGGAAATTGGTTCGAAGTTAAGTAGTCTAATTGCCGGGAGAATAAATCTCCTTTCCCGTCCATAATTATAATGGATGGTGGAAAGAAAAAAAAAAAAAAAACGGAATTATGGGTAGAAAAGTGGCTACATATCATCAGTTAATGAGAATTTGGTTGGTAGGTGGCTTCAAGTATCAAGTTAGGGCAGAAAGGAACCCAGACGAGGCTATGTCGAAGGGCAGTTTCTAGTCTAGGGAGGTTGACAAACCCAACAACGTATATACGGAACCTACGGGCTCGGGTTGCTCCACATAAAAGTCGGCCTTGTGCCACGTCTTGCTTCGTGGGAAGGTCGGGTAAATACCAGATCCAAGTATCAAGCAACTTGACGGACGGCTGAAGCACATTGAAAGACGAAGAATGAAGGGAAGCTTGTAGAAGTCTGAAAGAAAAAAAATATTTTGCCCCCCTAAAAACAACAATCGCTATTTTTATTTCTTTCCTTTTCGGTACAAATACCATGGAGCAACAATTCCAAGCAGATGGTTGGTGGGGATTAAAACAACTAAGAAATAATGTAACAGTTAAAAAAAAGAAGTCATCCCATTTAAGGCAGTAAAGCCACTGAAACAAGGGTGTTGCTGAGTGTTACAGAACCACAAAAAGAAAAACATTACGGAGCGAGACAGAAGATTGTATTTAAATTTTTGAAATGTAATGTCAATCGCTAAGCTTGCTGGAAAGGAAGCAAGATGAAGGAGTCTCGCAAACGAGAAGCGCGAAATAAATAAATAAAAAAAAAAAAAAAAAAACTCAACCAAACAATTACCATAAAAGTATACATTGAAAAGGCACATGGAAGCTACATTACAATGGTAGGAATATGACTGAAGCCGAGTTGCCTGGCCAGGACCAATAACATTTCAGATTCTTTGAATTTTATCAAAATCTAAATGTATAGAAGGAGCAACATCTAGCAGACCATGGGTTTGCGGGTTGTTAAATTACATAGAATAGAGTCCACTGCAAGAATATGGCGGACTCAAACCTAAGATATGTAAAGAAACCAAACAAGACCTCTCTCTAAATATATATATATATATATATATATATATATATATATATATATAAAAAAACACAATTTACAATGGACAAAGACATTAACGCGTGTGTGTGTGTGTATGTAAAGAGTTCGTACTTTGATGAATGTTTGTGTGTGTTTTTCATGGCCTTTTCCCCACAAGTGGGCAAAACGCAAATCTCCGAGAGATTTTTTTTTTTTTTTTTTTTTAATGTGTCCGCTGAAATGCAAAGAAAAAAAGGGAGAGAACGAGGCAGGTTCTCGTCGTGTATATATGGTGTCGGGAGAGCATGCCCTAGCGAACAATTTGGACAATTAGGAAAATAAGGAGGAGTTAACTCCTACAAACAGACCATATGTGGTAGTAATATTCTAAGCATGAACGAATTGTACACTTATAAATATGAAAGATTCTGGAGAGAAAAAAAAATTGTCTAGCAGGACACAATGAACTGACAGTTTTTAGTGGCAGACATACCAATTGATTCAATATAGTCTTTCCACTTCATATCAACCAAGAAGGCGCGACTTGTCATTATCAGAGGTTAGCATCAGGCAAACAGATGCTAACCCTTTTCTTCATTCTTACCATCAACAAATGGTTTGCCTCACGCACAGACTTGTTGAATGTGAATTGCAAGTTAATAAGCCTGTGGCTTTCGCTAATCAATACAGAAATGTAAAAAACAATTCCTTCCGTACAAAGATATTTATTCACAGGAAATTATTTGGCTGAGGTTACTTTTCTGTGTTCTTTATTTTTGCCAATGATTTCTACATTAGAATATGGGTAAATATGTTCGTTTAAAAAGCTTTCTTTGATTAATTAGTATTCACATCTGTTTTATTATTTACATCTCAATACAGCAGTTGGTAATTGATCAAATCAAATGCCAAAACCATTTTTGTGACTTACTACACTTCCATCGTAGGTTATTCAACCGTCTAAATATCTAAAAGACGTTTTCTTTTATTCTTAGGTACTACCAAAATGGATTCGTTTTTCCGAAATTAAACTATTAAAAAAAAAAAAAAAAAAAAAAAAATCGCTACCCTGTTGAAAAATATTTAGTAGATATCAGGGATTTATCAGAGTCAAACAAATAGTGCTTATTGTATATTTAATTTATTTTATTAGAAAACTGTCGAATTCTTTTTGACTCGGATCTTTACCTCATACGCTTTTCCATATCACGTATTTTTTTTTTTTTTTTTTAGAGTTATATAAACAAATCTCTGGTGTTATTTCAGTAAAAGAATTATGTAGTATGTGTGACCATACGGAAATTACGTCCTGAATATTACAAAAACATTCAATAAAACTTGAGAATTGGGGTTGGTATTTCATAACGCGTTATTTTCTTTCAGTTTGAACAGAAAAAAAAAAAATCTACGCTTAATATTAATTTTTTTTTTTATAGTTAATCTCGTTTGTGTTCGTCGCTTAAAGACGAGTTTGAAAATTTAAAAATGTACCGTTTACTACCACTTTCCAGAGTGAAACTTATTTTTTCGTTTTAGTAATTGTTACATTTTTGTATGGATGTTCACAAAAGAAAAATTCTGAATTGGCTCCTTTGACTACTTTTCCGTATCGTATAAGTCAATAACTGTTAAATTCATAATTTACAAAACAAAAAACAGCAAAACATTCAAACAAAAACATTGGGTGCAATTTGATATTTTATGACATCAAACAGGTAAGAAATAAAAATGAAAGTATCAAACACAAAAGAATCATTTAACTAAAAATCTACAAGAAAAAAAATAAAAGGTTAAAAGAAATTATTTTAAAACAAAATTTCGTGATTACTGCACTGCTGGTGTTCCATATTTCTTTCAAATATATTTCCTTAACTTTTTCGCGCGCTTTTTCACAGATTAGCTTTAGGCTCAATAAAATAAATACAACCAAAATTTACCTTCAAGAAATGCATTTCAATTATTCAAAATGCATTTCAATTATCAAAATGCAGTTTTCGGTTTTTCTTAGGAAGTCCATGGTGGTAATATTTTTTTTTTTAATTTTTGCGCTTTAGATGATATTAACGTTAAAAATTATATAAAACATACTTCTAATATAATAAAATGACGGTTGGGATAATAATGAATATTGTTATTTTTACCACCATCTACAAAAATAAAAAAATACTAAAACAATAATTACGAAATTTAACGTCAACATTTTTCTTTCTTTTTCCCCCTCAGCCCCACCAACAACCAAGAAGAACTCTTCGACAAGATTTTGTCCGGAAAATACGAGTTTATCTCCCCTTTCTGGGATGACGTATCAAGTTCTGCCAAGGTCAGTTTATTTATCTTCACTACAAAGTCGACAACACAAACTTGTTTTACACAGATTTTACGAAGCTACACATATTGGGATTTAATCCACTATAGTGTGTGTGTGTGTGTGTGTGTGTGTGTGTGTGTGTGTGTGTGTGTGTGTGTGTAGCTAGTTATGTGCCATGCGTGATACACGCTCAGGTGATCATGTATCTTTCGATACATGACTGACGAGGCAGTTTTTTTTTTCTCGCAGTAGGTTGCCATTTCTTTCTGCGGTAGACCAGTTGCCATCAAAGGCTATAGAACACAGTCTGTCTAGCTATTTACCCATAGCTAGGGGGAGAAGAGGATTCACACCCTTTCCCAAGGGTATTAGCATGTAAGTGAATTTAATGGATTCGACTGAAATTCGAACTCGGCTCGCCCATTCCTCAATCCGAGCCTATCCATTATTCCACCGTATGAATTACTAACATTATATTTTTTAAATTTATTTTTGCTTACCTTAATAAATAAAAATACCTACTATCCTCATATTTATTGTTAGTTACATTTAAGCCTCTTAGAGCCTGAAGAGTTTGCTAACCGTTTGCAGAATTTCAAACTAAGCCTCTTTATTTGCTCAACAGGCCACACTAAATCCACCGTCAACTAATTCGGATTAATCTAGTCTTCCACTAGTCATTTTCATGTCACTACACTTTGCTACAGTTGATTGAACTGCCTAACCCAGGGATTGAACACGCGACCGCATAAAGGAATTGGTCGGTATTACACTTTATTTACTAACAGAACAACATTAACGCGATAAAGAATCGGTGACCATTATATGTTCTGATCTTTTGATCAAGAATAAAAAGATCATTAGGTTGTGTCGGTGGCCTTTGTAGTATCTGCTCTCAATACAAATTAAACATTTACAAAAATATGGACATAACTAGAAAGAAGTCGAATGAAGTTTTTATTAATCTTGAAAGAGAACATGTTAAAGTGAAGAAATGTGTTATGTGCCTTCTCTCCGATCCCGAAAAGTAACGCTAGTGGATGTTACAAATACTCTCTTCTCACAAGTCCGGTACATGACGTTGTAAGAGGCTGTCAACACTCAATTACTGGGGTACATCTTAGACAGAAATTTCTAGTAGACACCGCTACCTACAGATCGAACTTCCTTATTGGTTGTCAATGGTCACGTGACCTAAGCGCGATGCATATTCATTAGGGAAAAAAGCGGAAGTACAGTATGGTTGTTTTAGTGAAAGGACGAAGAGTAAAACGGCCATGAAAATGACAACTGTTCTATTTTTTCCTGGGTCCTCCAATTTCACCTTGTGCCAGACAAAGGTGCACTTGAGGGTGTCTACGTCAATCCTGAAGAGTATGGGGAATATGGAAAGATTAAAATACACTGATGCATTTTTATTGTCCAAATAAAATTAAGTGATCCCGAAAAACATGCTTGAAGATAAGCATAAAGTTCCCGTAAGTATCCGACTCCTACTACGCTAAACCTTCAGATCAGGCCGAAACTGGTGTACTGTTGCCATATATGGACAGGAGCTGCCTAGTATTCACTTTACAGCCTCGATAGCCCAAACTGGTCTCCGCGTCCTTGTGGGTGATGAATTATTTTCTACCCTACAACCACTTTCCCCACAGATGCAACATCATGAGCCTCTCGCCATTGTCAGTATTTCCATCGAAAGTGTTTAAACTAACTACATTCCTTAGACGTGAAGGTTAGGACTGGTGAAACTAAGATTCACCATGCCACGCACATTGTAGCCAACCTTTGTATTCCACTGGTGGGATGCAAGTTCCACCAGCAGTTTCTACCCACAAACTGCTGAGAATGTACTTCTCCGATCACTATAATCGGAACCCGTTCAACTCTAGGTTGAACCCTTATCTCCACCCATATCCGCATAAATAATGTACTCTGTAAACCTCTACCTCGAGTGGCTTTTGAGCCTTTTACATTGAGAAGAAAAAGTATCAAAATGACGGTTTTCCCTTGACACCGCTATTATTTTAACTACCTTCACTCCTCGAAAATGCTGGTGTTAAAAAAAGCAATGATTAGAATTGTAATAAAACCTAAACACATGATAAAAGTGAATTCATACATTTTTTTTTTTTGTTCTTGAGAATTTACAAAAATATTATTAAAACACGATTTATTAGATCGTTTATTTACAAGAATAATTTTATATTTACAGTGTAACCCGGATATAAGAGTTTTCGGGACCGGAAAGAAGTCTCTTATATCCGGGTTACACTTTACAACATTCTAAAAACTAATACAATGCAATATTTATCATTTACCAATTTATAAAGAAAAATATGAAAAACTTTCTTTCATAAATTTATAAATATTTATTAAATTATGTGAACTAATTATGAGGAAACCCTTATTTTGTAAACGTGCACCCCCACCCCAAGTAGATCGTCCAGGATATCTAACACCGTGGCTGGTCGCTGAAGTGACCGCTTCAATCCAGAGCCAACCTTATCCCACGTTGTGATTTTTAGTATTTTTTTTTAGATCATAAGGCAAGATCGAATCGTCTCGGGTATTTTCATGTTGGGCTGCTCCAAGCAGGACGATGACGTACAGGGGGAAAAAATAACACTCGAATAAATTGAAAAGTAAATGATGATTTTATAACAGTCCTCCGTACAATAATTGGTTTATATCAGAGTTCGCATACAATTACTTATCACCCGAGCTGGCATCTAAATCGAAAGTTATACTATCGTCGACCTGACACAAGTCTGGTTTTGTTTTGGTAAAGTTCGGCATAAGACTGAAGTTGGCGCGTCTCTTCAGCAGGCAGTCACGTGGTCTCTTGTCTCGTCTTCGGCCCCGTCTCTCTCTCTGGTGAATTCGCTTCGCGCATTCGTATTTATGGACATTGCCAAAAACTGTCATGGGGGGTAGGAACTGTTCAGTGAGCGCGGGTGGCCTATCCACCACACCTATCTCGAATCAACTTCACATTCGTCGTTTAGCGAAAATGAAATTTCCGCTTGCAGCTATACGTCAATCGAACATCGACCCTCAAGTCTGGGTCACTTTTCCATTGATCAAACGGCTCAACGTACAATTCGAGCCGTTTATATGTGAATTCAATCTTCAATCTTTCCCCAGAGGCTCCCCTGGTATTAACTCTTATTTCCATATCTCTCAACAACACTATCTTTAAAGAACATCTTTCGTTTTACCACGGTAACGAGAAATAATTTTATAAAGTTCGAATTGATTGACAACTAGTCGATGTTTTGCCAACCATTCCAATAAACAACGAATAATGTTTATTTTTGTTGTAAATTCTCAAGAACAAAGTTTATGTTGAGGTTTTATTACAATTCTAATCATCTTTTTAAGACAATAAATATTGCCAAGGAGTGAAGGTACTTAAAATAGCGGTGTCAATGAAGGAAACAAAAAAAAGTCCTTTTGACAGTTTTTTTTCACTAGATTATTCGGACTATTGTCCTCATCTTTGTCGCCATATTTATTACAACTTTTCGGCCGTTGTACGCTCCAGACTTCTTCAGGGTGTTGGAATGTCGAACTAAACCCTTTATTTTGCTCACTGGGGTAGACTGTTCTAGTTCCACGTTTAATGGATGTCTGTTATCAGTTATCTCCTGTTAATTCCCCTCTCCAAATTCTCCACTGCCTTAACCGGGTATTGAACTCACACTTTTTGGGTCCTGTCACTGGATCTAACCAACGCCTTTATCCACTGTGCCATGTGGACATATTTTTACCAGTGCTCATATTGCATTTTCTGCTGTTATCATTGCTTTTCTCTGGCACTCCTTATTACTGGTTTCCATATTGTATTCATTTCTATGCTTGGTCGGCTCAGGAGATTTTGTTTTGTATATTTTTCGGGCGCAAAAGGTTCAAGTTTGCCCAAAAGTTTACTATACTTATGGAATTCTCTTTATATCAAACTTGTCCATTGATACCACAACTCAACTCGCATACCGTGGCTATCAAAATTACTTTCCTCGGCGGATGGTGTATTGTCTGTATTCTCTACCCCCCCCCCAAAAAAAAGCTGTGTGTCTTCCTCCTAGAGAAGAGAAATTGGTGCGGTATTCGGGATATATTCGGGAAAGACAATTGAATAATCAAGAATCTATACTGGCAGCAAAGCGCCTGCATACGGACAAGTTCAGCAGACATAAAAATAGAAAGGGTTGTAAGACAGTGAGGTGTCTTCTCACCGGATTTATTCAACTTAGAACGCGTTTATGTTCCACTGCTACCCACTAAACACCATGACGTTAAACATCGAATAACAACAGCGATCAACTCAGATCGTGATAAGCTGATACGCGTCTGGGAGGAATTCTCTTATCGCATTGATGTTGCCTGTGCTGCAGATAGTGGCCACATTGAACATTCGTAATAGAGGAAATAAAAGTTGATTGTGAGTAGAAGAATTGTGACTTGGCTGGAGTTTTTATTGCTTTTCCTTATTAAAATATTGCGTAATGAAATTAGTTCATTCTTGAATAACTGTTTTATAATTTCAACGATTTCACCACACCCACGTATAAGTAAGGGGTGGGGGGTAGAATTAAGAAACTTAGAATTAAATTGAAATTTTTTTTGTCCTTTAAGGAATTTAAAGTTTATATTTTCAGAATTCTTAGTTGTCTTTTTTTTCCATAGTATTCTTCAAGCAAAATATCATTTCTCCATAATGAAGGCGATAATGCGACTAAGACGGAAGGGTTACTGGGATGGATACAGAATAAAAGTTTAGAAAAAACTGGAAAACCATCCTAAATTGTTATAAACCTCTACTAGAGTGAAGGAAGTTGAACCGGGCGATAGACGAACCCTCGACAAAAGTTTTTTAAATGTTAAAAAAATAACTGTACCATACGATCGACATTTAGAGAATTGTAAATTTATTTAAATACATTTGTTTTTTTTGTTTGTTTTTTTTTTCAGGATTTAATCACTCACATGCTTCAAGTTGACTCCGAGGAGAGGTTTTCAGCTGCTGAAGTTCTTGACCACCCATGGGTGGCGGTGAGTAAACAACATACACACACACACACACAAATATAATCTTACTATACATGTGCTGGAGGATACTGAAAGCAAGAATCTATTGAGATGATGGGTCAGATTTTGGTTTGGTTTGTTTTACGGTATATCAACCTCAATAGGTTATTTGATGCCGGCAAGATTTTTTATTACCGGTAATTTTTTTCCAAAATGTATTGCTAGTATTAAGACCTACTTTTATAGTTTTTTGACACTGCCCTTTTTTTTTGGAGGGGGGGGTAACTATTTGCCCATAGCTGGGGCCCTAAGCAATATTACTTAACAGAACCACCTTTATAAACGGAAAATTTATCTCTATAACTGTTATCCAATCGCAAAGTTATAACCTTTTATGTGAAACACTTTAGTGGTATACGATTATGCTCATTACGGATTGGCTGGGTGACAGTTTGGGAATACCAGGTGCTCTAAGATTGGATAGGCAGGTGGTGCAATGTATAATCGATCAGTATTGTTAATCGAACAGAGTTCCAATTCCCGTTGGGTTAGTTATATTCGCTTACCATTGGGAAAGGTATGAGTCTACCTCTTCTCCCCCAGCTATGGGCTAATTAGTATGATTTGCATCACTAAATCCTTATTAAAAAAAATAAAATAAAATAAAAATTACAATATAAATATTTTCCGGCTTTTTTTTTTTTTTAGCAACCTGCAAAGAGTTGATAAACCGTAAAAGACGAATAAAAATAAATCAAAATATTTCCCTCCCAATTCGTTTAATGTGAGGATAGCGCTTAAGGGACGACACTTATCAACCTCGACACGAATAAATAGTACTTAAGCTCCTGGTTGTCAGTCTCTAAATACGAGACTGGGTAGAGAAAAAAAAAATTGATGTAATCGGAAAGTGATTACGTTGTCGAAATGGTTTATTCAAGGATAAAAGCGTGACGACTGCTACTCTAGTGTCAAATAGGCTTCCATCCTTGTTATGCTGACCGGGCCTGACACCTAGCTGGCCAAACAGTTCCTCTTGTGTAGCTATAACTTTTAAGAAAAAGTCAAACCACAGCTACCAGATCAAGATATTTGGGTCGAAATTGTTCGGAGAGAAAAGGAAAATCTGTCCAATTCTTTGAACTGTTGTTCATGTAACAGAGGGAGGTTTTGAAACATGTGAAATTTTTCATATAGTATGAAATTTCATTATAGCAGAAAGCATTCTTACAGTCAATTTTTTTTTCGTTTTTGCAGGACGACGCTGCCAAAGATGCCAAATTACATGTTGCCCAGGAACTGAGTAATTATCTGACTCGATCCAAGAAACCGAAAGGCGGGTTGGCTGTTATGGCGGTAAGTCTAAGGGAGAGAGGGGGACAAGTTTCAGACAGATAATCTATTATAATTGCAACGTTACTGTTCAGCGCTAACCCTAGTCGGGAGTTGGTAACTTAGCTATTTTGCAGCTAAATCTAACTTTTTCTTATAAAATATTAAACAAAGTGTTAAATGCTGATTTACAGAAGGAAAATGAACTGAAAAAGTAAAACAAAGACCTAGCTCGAGGTAAAAAAGAAAAAAGTTTGATGCTGATTTGCAAAAGCTAAGTTAGAAATACACACAAACTTTCTCAGAGTTAAAACTTCATTTTTCTAAAATTTATTTTACAGAATACAGCACTTGACAAGGGATCCAAGTTTTTCCAAGGCCGTGGAGGTTTCAGCCTTCATCCCCAACAGGATGAAATATTCTAAAAAGTCAGACTAATTTTACAAAAACTTTTCTCGGTATTTTAATATTTTCGATTTCATATTGAACTTTTCTTCGTAAACCGGGTGAATGCATTTTTTTATTGTCATTTGTTTTCCTTTTCTACGTTTAATAAAGAATTTCTTTGAATTTGTCAATTCTTTTCTTTCATGTTGAACCAAAATGTCCATCAACGATTAATAAATAACTTGAGGTAATAATAGACACGACACACACTAACTCACAATGATCGCTATAGCGTTACGAGGTTGTTTTTTTCTTTGAGATCAGAGTCCCTCAGCGAGTATTTTTGTTGTCTGAATTTCTAAGATGAGGAGTTACTATTTCTTTTTTTTTTTTAATCGGTATCATCCCCAAGGAATGCAGTACAAACCCTAGCACGCAAGGGCTTACAGAGCGTAGAGGTTTGGTTTGTTTTACGGCATATCAACCTCAATGGTTTATTTAATGCCGACAATTTTTTTTATCGCTGGTAATGTTTTTCTTCAAAAATCTATTTCTGCGAATATTTTTCCTTGAAGAAATCGAAAGCTGGTCATTTTGTTTTTCAAAGAATGTATAACTGTATTGCTGGCATTTTTTTTTCTTTTTAAAATATTGCTGATAATAATTTTTCCTTCAAAAATTATTGCCGGTATTACAAAGCATTTCTGGTATTAAAACCTATTTTTACACAAGTTTGGGTGTCAACAATTTGCCCATAGCTGGGACCCTAACAAGTGTTACCACCCCAAGGTCAGGGTGACCTGGGAACACCAGCAATTAAGAGGCGTTTCCACGCTCCTCAAAACCTCCTGATCAGAGGCCTTGCTGCTGGACGTAGTTTATCGTCATACCCAGGACGCAGAGGAATTCGGAACAGAAACATTAGTAATGAGGAGAAAGAAACAAGAGCAGTCACGAGGACTAAATAGCAATTGACATTGCATTTAAGTTTTTGCAGATCAAATTTGGTTAAAAAGCTTGCAGCGGGAAGGGAGTTCCACAAGCGAGAAAAGAAGTTGTCAGTATAGAAATTACGGATAAATCTAACCAGCTGAACTGTAAACTGATGAGATCTCGACGCCAGATTACTACTTCGCTGAAATTCATACAGTCTAGGTACCATATTGAAGAGCTCATCTGAACAATTACCATGAAAGTCTTTATTAAAAAATAAAAGGCACAGAGAGGCATCCTTATGGCAGTGAGAAAGTGAAGCCGAGCCACCAGATCAGGACGAATAATATTGCAGATTCTTTGTAATTTGTCAAGGAGTTTCAGGTAAACAGCAGGGGCGCCGGACCATATATGGCAGCAATATTCTAAGCATAGACGAATTTTAGACTTCTGCAAGATTGATTCTGGAGAAAAAAAAAATTGTCTCGCTTCGCACTTTCTTAGCAGCTGACCTAGCAATGGATTCAATAGAGTCTTTCCACTTCATGTCAGCTGAGAACGTTAGCCTGAGACGGCGCAATAAGCCACCTTATTGAAGAATAGCATCAGCCATGCTGATCTAAGGCAGAGAGCGCTCTCTCAGATTATTAATGGAGAGAAGTTTAGTTTTGGGGGCGTTAAAATTGACAAGCCCCCCCGGTTAACGAAGGTTGTTTTGAGTCATTTTGTACATCAGCTGCCATTTTGACCTTTTCTGACTGATCAGTCTTACTATTGAGGCAGGACTAAGTGGTCGTGCCGTCAGCGTAGATGTCAAATTGAGAGCTGATGCCATTGGGAAGGTCGTTAAGATTAAAAACCGTATAGGACCAAGGATGGAACCCTGGGGGACAGCCACGTTAATACGAAAGGATGTAGACGAGTGGCCGTTTAGGACAACTCTCATTTCACGTTTTGATAGGAACGACTGGATCATCTCAAAAACGTGTCCGGAGATACCGTAACTTTCCAGCTTGCGGAGAAGACCTGAATGCGCCAGACCCTGTCAAGGGATCTGGAGATGCCCAATGCTAGAACCCGGGCTTCACTGTTTTTATTTAGAGCATGATAAACTCTTTCCACAATTATCGTCAGTACATCAGCAGTTGATCTGGAGAAACGAAAGCCGTATTGCTCGTCAGAAAAAAAGACCCTGTGATGAAAGATGAACCAATTCAGCATTAATTAAGATCTCTAGAAGCTTCTCCAAAAGAGGTAGAAAGGCTTATAAGCCGATAGTCGAATGGACCGGACGGTTCACCAGAGTTCTTAAAAACTGGAACAGACGATGATTTCCAGCAAGCAGGAGGCAGCAAGGTATTATACAGTTTAGAGAGAGAACAGAAGCTATTTCGGAAGCACACATTTTAATGGCTATTACAGGGATGCCATCAGGTCCACAGGATTTGTGGGAATCAAGGTCAGAGATGATAGCATATGCATAGAAGGGGTTATATGCTTATCACTCAGAATCAGTTCTGAGTGAGAAGTTAGGCAGGGATACTCCAGATGAATCGGGAGTAGAGTGAGAATTTACGGGTCAGGTATTCAGCTTCCTCAGCAGAGGACAAAAACACCACAAATCGATTCAAAAGCTGGGGAATAGAGACACTGCACTTATTTCGTACCCTATTACAGAGACATCAGTAGTCAAAGTTTTTAGAGGCTATGCGGCACCTCATTCTCTTAGCAAACAAGGACTTAGCTTCTACAAGGGCTCGCTTACATTTATTACGAGCCGTACCTGTTACGAGGGTACCTGTTATGACGAGAGCTATCACGGTGGTATAGTCGGAAATAATGTTCCTATGTGCTATGGCGGCTGATCATTTATCCGTAAGTTCTATACTGGCAATTTCTTTTCTCGCTTGTGGAACTATGGAGAACATTGCAGTTTCACCTGGTATTTCCTAGAAGGGATGAAAGCATCCACGCTGCCTTTAACACAGGAAGAAACCTTAAATGGCGCAATTTTCATTTGGGAGGTTAAAGATATCAGTCCAAGAGGCGTCACAAAGAAAATCCCGGAATGAGTCCCAATCAGTATGCTGGTAACGAAAAGGTCTTTTCACGGATGCTTGGAAGGAGATATCAATAGCTACCATAGAGTAGTCCGAGTTACCTAGAGGGCAGAGTATTACGAAGTTCGGCAAGAGCGAAGAGAGGAAGTAAGAAATAGAACCAACAGAGAAGTCTGTTGTTTGGTTAAGGAAATGATTTGGGAAGTCCACGATGTGAGTGAAGGATTGGGCAATGAAAAATATGTATACCGGCAACAGTACCTTTGGAATGTTTCAGGCACATGTGGTAAGCATTAAATTCACCGAAGACAAAGATGTTTGCAAATGGAGAGAAAGTGCCCTTTCTATACTGTCAGCTACTGCATCTATATATACTGCAGTCTTAGGAAAAAGGAGGCGATAAAGGAAAAAGAAATATCTGACAGAGTTAAGTAGCGAAAGACTGAAGCACATACAAGAGTAGTCAGCGGCCTCGAGAGACAATTCACTGGTTATCGGAGGATTATTTACGCTATTTATATTCGGACTATTGGCTTCATCTTTGTTGTTATCACAACGTTCCTTCCTCAGGTGTATATCGATCTGGATAACCTACAGGGAACTCCAAAGTGAACCCTTTATTTAATCTACGAAAGTAGAACTCTTCGCGGACGGGACAACGATCGAAACATTGTGATAACGAAGAGGACAATAATCAGAATATAATCAGAGTAAATAACTTTTTCACTTTACAGTTTTTAATTTCCTTTCGCAGGCTTGGTATTATCGGTGGGATTATACTTCGAGGTTTTACTGATTATTTATATATAAAGTTATGATTTTCTGACTGCATCTCGGAAATGCAAAGCGTCAATGTGAAGAGTTTTCGAAGAAAAAAAAAATCTTTCATCGCGTCCATAATTTAGAAAAGAATCAATTTTGTCAGACATAAAAAAAAAAAAAAAAAAAAAAAAAAAAATGCGTCAGGCACCTTTGCATTTCGCAAGAGCAAGAAGCAATTGGACAAGCCAGTCATTAGAGAATGTGAACATTGAAGTTAACACTCAGAGGCGACAGACTGTTTCATGCTAGACGCAATCAGGCCTGATAATTGCGTCTAGCATGAAACAGTGTCGCCTCTGAGTTAACTTCAAATGTTCACTTATATATTTACATATGCTCTGATATTGAGCACTTCATCCCATAGATATAGCATACCTTAAAACTTTAGAATTCAAATGTATCTGTTGTCAAGAAGCTCAGAACAACAGTCGATATTAACGTTCATCCTAACTTAATTTCTATAAAAACAAAAATAAATAGAACATGTATTTTTTCCTCAGTAATTTTATAATTTTAAACTTAGAGATTAAATTTAAATTTTAAAATGGGTAATTTGTAATTTTATCGTATAATTTAATACTTAATAGTTAGAATAAATTCTATTTTAGTCTAACCCCAACATTAAGGCATTAAATAATTTTTATAAGCATAGTTTGTTGTCAGGTTTTTTGAATTCTCGTATACTTGTATTTTGATTGGTCATTCCAGCTTATGTAACAGCGTTTCCCATTGCGAGGGGTGGTTAATTAAGTTGAACCTTTTAAAACCCTTTATTCTATATTCAACACCATCACTTGATAAGACACCAGGTGTTGAAACAAAATGGCTATTTTTGTAGTGATTTTATAACAGATTCATGTTATAATTTTTCGAATATATATATATATATATATATATATATATATATATATATATATATATATATATATATATACTAGAATAAACAGTGCTTTGCAGCGTGTCACATTTTTTGTAAGAAAATGATGATTTTAAGTCATTGGTATAATTTATGGATAAAAATGATGCATTTATATATTACTCAATGATCTTGCTAATGTAACCGCTATCTTCTGGCTTTCTATATTTTGGATACGAGTTATTCCCTTGTTCAAATTTAAGTTTAATTTAAATCAAAGGGGAAAAGAATTTCTGTTGGAGTTTGTGCACATCCCCCCGCCCCGGAGCCCTCTTTTGATCAAAAGAAAATATACTTATCCAAGTCC